AATGTGTGTTTTCCTATCTGTTGAAAACCCTAACGCTAACAGGTTGCTCCCATTTTGTTCTCTATCAATTTTCAGAAAGGTGGTTGGTTGTGGTTCTAAAGTAACGCTTCCCTGCAACACAAAGGCAAAAGACAATGGCAGAGAACAATAGAACTAAGTGGGTTGGTACCGATGCCCGAAAACAGCTGGTTGAACAGGATTACGGGTTGGTAGAAGAGGTAAAAATGTTGAGACAGCATGTGGCAGACATGTATCGGGCATGGATGACTGGGAAAGCACCACCCCCGCCACCGCCTAGCTTCCTAAACTCTGTCCTTACCCAAACACCTAACACAATAACGGATGATCCTCCATACTCTCCATATCTACCCACTTATGACAACTTTTCCAGCCACCCGAGTAGCTCCATCACTCGTTGTCCAACTATATTTTTCCAACGCTACTCCCCTCCCCAACGCTATTTCTCTCCACGGGACTCCCAAAGACATGCTTCACTTTCTAAGTACCCAGCTCCACAAAATGCCTATCCACCCCCACGAGCACACCAGAAACCCCCTGGATCAGGTTTTAGGCCAAATCAGGCATTTAGGAACGAGAGGTTGCTGAAACGAGAAAAGGCTCTCACCCCTATCGGAGAATCTTATGCAAGTCAGTTTGAAAGGCTAAAGCATGTTGGCCGGATTGAGCCGCTCCCCGGATATACTCCAGATCCACGTGCAAGAAGCTTTGATCCTACGGCACGATGCGCATACCACTCCAATGTCCCAGGGCATAGCATTGAGAGTTGCCATTCGTTGAAAAGGAAAATAGAAAGAATGATTCACGAAGGAGTGATTGCGATCGACGACAGTAATAAAGAGCATGTGAACCCTCTTGGGATATTGACTAAAGCTGAAGATGTTGAAGCGGATAGTGGTCTTGGCAATATTGATGCGAAGCTCACTGGCTAAGATGTCGTGCTTGGTAATTGGGAAGACGCTCCATTCCTTAGTCAGCCGGAGTAGAGCTTTTGGTGGTTTATTTTGTTATCATTTATGTTATCCGGGTTATTCTAGGGTTGTGATACGGATATTGTCTTGTGTCAAACCCTCTTATCCTTCCATTTTGTCATAGCGGTTTGCTTAGTTTTGTCCAGGTTTGTTTCAGGTTTGTTCCAAGATTGTACTCTAGTTGCTTTACTTGTCTTGTTGTGCAAACCGTTCCACCGATTGTCTCATGCAAATTCTGGTCTTTTGTTACCTCCAGTCATCTTCTTTGTTTAGTTCTTTTTTATCCTTTTGTGTTTTCTTTTGTTCAAACGTCGATTCTAGTGACATGACATGTGCGCACAGTTTAGGCCTAATCTTAAAAGTTAATTATAAAGCCATTGGGAGATGATCGGGACACTTAAGGGAAATAGGAACAACTTGAGATCATTTGAAGCCCGAGCCACGTGAAACTGGGACAAGTAAAACATAAAGAAAGCAGAAGATGTAAAATATTGTTCTGTTCTTTTATTGTATGGCAGACCATTTATACAGATATGTACAACAGATGTAGCAACAAGATAAACTTGAAAAAGATAACATCTATTAGAAAAGAGCCTAAATAGGAGGAGAGAGTTACAACAAATTCCTAAAGATCAGTAACTACAAAATAGAATACTACGGTAGTAAGGAACCCTAGAGTAAGCAGTAATCAGCCGTTATTAAATCTAAGACATATTTATAGAAAACGAGATTCATAGTTAAAGAGAAGGGAAGTGATCGAGAAGACGCTCGGGAAGCTGTACCTGTACCATCAAAATGTCCTACCGTATCATGTTTCAAAAGTGTCTTGACCACAGAAAGTATACCAATATCAATCTATGTTGTGCGGACTCTCAAAATGTTGTCTCACCCGTGTTGGATCCTTCATAAATACACTATTTTTGGAGGATCCGACAACATTTTTGGTATTCCAAGCAACATAGATATCAATCAACAAAGAAGATATCTAATTGATTAAGGCTGCTATCCAACTTATTATTCATCCACAGATGTCTGTTTTAAGAGTAGCAAGTCTTTTCACGCATAAGGTGTCGCATAGGTAAATATGACTTACACCATATGTTACGGATTGAATTATTTGTTCTGTAATCAAATTTTGAAAAGTAGCTATCAACAAATGCAACTGACAGACAATTTCACAGAATTTATTAAGAAATCAACTATTAAAAAAAATTACATAGTGATCTTCCAAATTGCTCCAGCTATAAACTCTTCATACTCTGTTGAAAAAGAAAACCACAATCAGTTAATTCCTGTCCTGAATATCTAGAGCTACAAAACATACAGAAACAAATGGCAAGACAAAGTAATGGTCTTTATCTTTTTGGTGGACAAATTCTCGCTTGAGGAATTTACAATTTTAGACCATTAAATAATAAAAACTGAATTATTGGATAGATTTACTTTGTATCAGACATGCCTTAGTGTTCATTTATCATCCAACAGATATATACATTTAGGAATCTCAGTTGAAAATAGATAAAACCTTAGGTCACAGTTTCCAGTAACCAGCTCCTCCACCTTGCTATAACAAATCATTTGCAAAACCAACAATTTGCGGATTTAGTCATTACACCCAATCATTTAACCAAATAATATATATCAGGAATGGATTTCTTAGTTATTTGTGTACATCAATATTTGCATGGAGTAGAGTGTTGTCCAGTTAAGAACTCTCATATCCAGAAGATGAAAGCAACAGAAATGAGGATGTTAAGATGGATGTACGGGCATGCTAGTATTAATAAGATTAGGAACGAAGATATTCGGGACAGGGTGAGTGGTCCCCGTAGAGGACAAGGAAGAGAGGCTTAGATGGTTTGGACATGTGAAGAGGATAAGCACATATGCCCCAGCAAGGAGGTGTGATAGGTTACCTTTGGTGAGTCTGAGGAGAGGCAGAGGCAGGCAAAGAAGTACCGGGAAGAGGTGATTAGACAGGATATGACATTGCTTCAGCTTACTGAGGACATTGACCCTCGATAGGAGGGTGTAAAGGTCGAGAATTAAGATAGAGGGTTAGTAAGTAGTCGAGCGTTTTTCTTTTCCATACCAGCAGTACTAGTGTTAGTCTTGTATTCTATTATTCTAAGATTTCTATTACTACATGTTGTTTCTTTCGATTCATTTTCTTATTATCTTGTTGTTGTTATTGCTTGTTGCTACTGCTTTCTTTATATCTCTCCTTGAGCCCAGGGTATATCGGAAACTATCTTCTCAAGTTATAGGTAAGGTCTGCGTACACACTACCCTCCTCAGACCCCACTTATGAGATTATACTGGACTTTTTGTTGTTGTTGTTTACATTGATAAGGTCTATGCTTGATGAGTTTATCTAACTTTCATAGCTAAAAAGTTCCATCTTTTTTAATTCATCGTACTTCTATTTCAAGAACTTTTTATCTTTAATAAAAAGATACTAACTAAATAATAAAGCTTTAATAACAAGGTGTCAAACAAAAGAAATAGTTAGTAAAGGCAACTTATGGTAAGGAAAATACATTTAACAGAGTTTCAAAATCAAGATAGAATGTAGTTTTATTTCCTCAGTAGTGTACCTGAATTAGGATTACTTGAGGAAGAGCTTGAATTTAGTATTTTGATAATCTTCAACTTGCATTTCTTGGATAATGCTGGCTGACTTGTCAACGCAGTCGTTGCATTCCTGTACCTCAATAGATTTCAGAGAAGAGATGACTCCAAAACAAGAAGGGATCTCCTTAAGTTTTTTGCATTCACGCAAAACCAATCGTTCAAGGTTAGGAAAGGCATCCTCGGCGACAATCCATTCTTCTAAGAGAAAATATAAATCTTGTAGTTTCAAGACTTTGAGTTGAGGGAACTCGCCATTGCTCACTTTCCATTCCTTATTGTCATACCTAATGAGCTTCAATTTGAGTACCTGAAGGTTCTGAAGCAGAACAATTTCTGATAGTTGCTGAGTATTCAGGTAAAACGCGGATAGTGTCATGCTTTTGAGATTTGTTGCAGAGATGTAAAAGGGAATGGGTCTAGGAAAACCGCACCTGAATGAATCTTCGGTGTTTCAAGCCATGTTGGAAAATTCAGTACATGGTATTGAAAGCTGTTGCCACCAACTTTGAATATGCATCTCAGCTTCCTAAGATTAGGTGTTCTTCTCAAAACCAAATCCGCATCCTCGACACAAGAGAAATATACAGTGGAAAGAGTTTCTAGATCATAAAGTTTCGCGGAGTTCTCAAGTAATCCTTCTGCATTTTTCATATCCAAGCTGCCTTGTATATTATGAAGATGTCTCAATTTAACCATCTTCCAAACTGTAATGGGTAGTGACAAGCGTCCTCCATATTTTAAAATCATAGTTTCAAGATTCCAAAGATTGCATATGGATGACGGAATCCCGCTAATGTATGCAGCAAAATACCTCAAGTAAACTAGATCAGTTGGGAAAGAATCAATCTTAGTGAACTCCAAATTCAAAACGTTTAGAAACTTGAAACTGTGCAAAATGCGGGAGACTTGGTTAAATGTAAGGCAATCATCAAGCATAAGTACAGAGCCAACAAGGGAACATGACGAGCTCCATTCTCCAATAAAATACTCTTCACCATAAATGGATATGCAATGAGAGAGTTGCTTGTGAGAGTACATGCAGGAAGAAGGATTGGCATTTTGCTCCCTGTGAATATAGATATTAGTAAAATTAAAAGATTAATTGTAAAATTCAACTTAGATACATAATTAACTGAACCACAAGAGTATCATTAATTAGTGTATTACCGTTTTATCCATAAGAGAAGATTCTCTTCTTTTGCTCTCTCCTTGCAGAAATCATGCAATAGGTCATGAATGTGACATGCTTTGATGTTACCCCCAGAACTCCTCTTAGTTCCTGTCACGAATGGAGACAACATTGGGCCAATCCAGGAAGCTGAAGTACAAGTTGATCCACCAAGTGGGTCTAGAAGTTTGCCCAGAAGAAGTAAGAGGGGTCGAATACCAGCCCAAAGGCTAGATGATTATGTATGGGATGCTGACTAATTAGGAGAACTTGTTGTCCAAGACATATCTCAGGAGGGGACCAGTTAGTAGTATATTAATAGAGGAATGGAGACAGAGTAGAGGGGCAAGAGTTTGTTAGAATATTTCCCTATCCTCCCACTATCTTTTCTTTTGTCATTATCATTTCTATCTGTGGCTCTATCCTCCCACTATCTTTTCTTTCTGTCATTGTCATTTCCATTCCAGTGTTTGTTGGTATTTTCCTCTCAACTTGTATTGCATTTTTATCATCAGAAATCAAAGTCCATTTGTTTGCTTATTCTGTTTGTCAGATCATAACAGTTCCCATCACTAGATTTCTTCCAATAAGGTTCTCCAAATAACCTTCGGCTATATCCTCCAAACTCTTGCCTTCACGACTTTTTACAAATCCTTCGGAGATCCACAACCATGTCAACTTTGAAACATTAATCACACTGTCCTCTAGAAATGCTCCAAAGTAAAGAAAGCAAGGCCGCAAATGATAGGGTAAAATCTGATAACTTTGTTCTATAATGGCCCTTGAGTCACTGTGAATATGGGGACCTAAATTGTTGGCTATTTCTTCCCAACATTCTGCTTTCTGCTCCGTCTCTACCAGAATACCAGCAACCAAAACAATTGAAAGAGGTAGCTGACCACACTCTTTTGTTATTTGTTGCCCAATATTCATTAGGAGAGGAGGGCAGCTGTCTTACCCAAACACTTTTGTTTCGAGTAACTTCCAACTTTCAACATCATCAAACATACGAAGTGAAAGGGGATCACTCTGAAATCTAGTGTAGTTGGCAAGTTCATGGTTTCGTGTTGTTAGAATAATTCTACTTCCATTATTGGCATCTTGAAAACAGCCTATTAGATCATCCCACGCACTTGCTTCCCACACGTCATCAATAAGGATAAGATATCTTTTGGAATACAATGTTTTACGAAGCTCATCAGCTAACTCATCATCACGTTTTTCTCTATGTTTAGAGTGCTCATTAGTAGCATCACGTAAAATCTCCAATAACAAGTGTTTACGTGAATATACCTGAGATACACAACATTGCGCACGAATGTCAAAGTGAGAAACAACAAACCTGTCAGAGTAGAGTCTGTAGGCCAAAGTCGTCTTGCCTAGACCTGGCATGCCGACGATTGAGATAACATCTCGCCCTTTGGTCCCTTTTATTAGTTGGTCTCTTAACTTTTCTATTACATCTTCAAACCCCACAATTTCTTCATTCATCCTTGGAGTCCTTGCCAAATTTGATGACATACGAGCTGTGCTAGCGTTCATTATATCCTCAACCATTTTCTTTTCCTGAATCTCTGCTACCTCTACTTTGATACGAGTTATCTCCTCTACGATATCCAGGAGCCAACGCCCGAGACACCAGTGAGGAACTTCTTTGCTTATATAAGCATCAACTACATATTCCACCTCATATGCTTTGCTAATCAGTTCTGTAGCATAATCTTGGAGTGTCTCGAGCTTATTGTGTTGCTCTTCTGCAACAGCCTTTAGGAAAGGTTGCAAGCTCTCAAGTTCCTTTTCAATAATTTGAAGTTGAATCCTGATGGAAGCAAGAGAATTTGCATAACGGCCCTGGAACTCCTTCAGATTGTTTAAAAGGAAATCGACATAGCCTAGTCCATGAATCCTTGGCAAGTTATATTCAAATGCCTTCCGAATGATAAGATAGGTCATTGCTCTGATAGGCTGAATGTCGCCCAAAAGATCAAGACCAAGTACTTGGCCCACATCCTCCAGTGCTGTGTCGCTATCATATAATGAGTAAATGACAAGTCCAGCATCAACAATAACAGTGTCCATATCTTGAAGACATAAATCAAGGTTTAGTATTGGAAGATGGATGAGATGGTCCCTTAAGAGGATGAGCATCTCTCGGAGGATTGCCATTTGATCATTCAAAGAAACTATTGAACTACGATTACTAACAGTTGGTAGCTCCACCAAATTGTGCACAACAGTTTCCGCGAAGCCACTGTCAGTTGCATTCCATTCTGGTTGTATTGTTGATTTCAAAGCTTGTAGAACATCGCCATAGATTTTGCGGATGCCTGGATTAATGGGCTTAATCTTCATTTGCAGGAGATCAAAAAGCAAAGCATTCATTTCAGTTGGAGCCACATCTTTGTTGTTGTTGCCAGGGCTTGGCAAACACAACCATGCCACCATTGCTGCATGGACAGCCACAATGAAAACATGAGTGAAGAAAATATGTTGGCTTTGAGGCTCTATGTGTTTGTTTGAGACAAAGCAGACGAAAAATCTCAGTAAATTCAGCTCTTTTAAAACCTCTTTTATTTGGTCCTTGGGTTCCAGAACAAAAAGTAGCGAATGCGGATCATCAATTTGCACAAGATCACCAAGAATCGATACAACAGCATCGACGAATTGGAGTACAATTTTGGATGTAGCAACGCCATCCTTGTTGGCCAAAGGTGGTAATTGTTGCGGAAGCCAAATGTATATAGTGTGAATAAGTCACAACTACTATACCAAAAATT